GACTGTCCCATGAGACGCCCATCAAGAAACCCGAATTTCAAAAGAACACCGTGGGTTTGGTCACGTGGAGATGGTCGGGGCTACTGTACTGACCCCAATAAAACGCCATACGACAAGCAGCTGACGGAGAAGGCTTACCTCTCTGCTGCAGTTCCAGAACTTGAACAAACAAAAGCTATTTGGAATCACCTGACATCTAGTCACTATCTGGCGCAGTTCGATCGCGATTGGCACGCAGGGAAGCCTGCCGATCATACATCAGCAGAGGAGAGCTAACCAGGCGCTTATGAAGTTGAATATGAAGATGTTGAAATGGCTGAAGAAGTTAGTCCTACGGAAGCCGCCCTTGGCGACGGTGAATCAAGTGATTCTGGTATCACGGATATTACATGTGGAACTGATACTCCGATCAACCCTGATTACGTTGTCACCAGAGACATGGAGCTCTCTCCTGGCAGGCGGATCGTCTACCGCGCTCAAGGTGCGGGCTGTATCACTACTTGCGTAGCCGAAAGGCGTGGTGCAGATAAGTACTTACTTGGTAGGAAAAGAAAGTACATATTGAGAATATGGCTCTCGGGAGGCCAGGCGGTGACGATCTGAGTCCTGACCGAGGCCCCATAAAGCGTTTTCGGCGGTATTATCCTGGGACGCCGGCGGGATCTACGGCAAAGGCAGCGCCCAAGCCGAAGCCAGAATCGACCGAACTTCCCTCGCCTTCTGATTCTGATTCTGGATCAATAAGCCCATCTCTTGGCCCTGATCATCCTAAGCCCAAGAAGAAGCGCAAGAGCCCAGATGATCCTAATCCTGGGGATAGCAAGAGATATGCGGGGCAACCTGCTGATCAACACCCTGATCGACAACGATCTAGAGGGCCAGCAGCGGCCGCCGCGGCAGCCAGATCCCAGGGCACCAGTACGCCAACTCCAAAAGAGCCTGCGCCACGTCGCGGCCCTACACCTGGTCGGGCGCGCGGGTCAGGGCGGGCGCCCATTTGGGAAGCAAGAGCCAGGGATGCGTCTTCCACGCGGCTGAGAAGCCCCCTGCTACTGCACCAAAGGTGCCAGGAGCAGCGCCCAGGGACAAGGATATCGAGTCCTACATTGCCAAGGAGAAGAAGCACCAGGACTTCGACATCAGCACCCCGCAAGGAACTCCATGGACTCCCAGAGGTTCTGTTGGTGCTGCCGCATCGGCTGCGAGCGCAGCGACGTCTGCAGCGCCAGCGCCAGGGGCTGCCCCGCGCTCTGCGGGGCAACCTGCTCAGAGTTCTGCGGGGCAACCTGCCGACGGCCCAGCGGGGCAACCTGCCCCTGCGCTGGGGGTGCCACCGGAATGCAAGAAATACTGGGACAGGAAGCGCGCGGGCAACCGCATGAAGATCAATCCAGCATATCATGCGCGAAATGATGATGGAGTTTATCGCTGCATGGTGGTGCAGTGCAACATCGTGGGCGCTGCTGCCCATTCTGGCGAGGGCGCGCGCGCGCCAAACAGTGCGCAACATCCTGCGGAAGCGCCCCGCCCTCACGTTGGATTCAGAAAAGGAATATTTGAAGAACACCCTCAGCACGGGCAATGTTCGCAGGCCGAGGTTCCAGTATGGAAGTCAACGCGAGGTGTCTGAGTGGCTGACAACAGCCTTCCGTCACACACCATTTCACAACGGTCGCTTGTCAGACATATTTATTCGCGAGGTTACGACATATGACGAGTGCGACGGTTGGGCAGACTTATCGCAGCTACTCAATACATGGCCTGCAGAAGGATACGAAAGGTACCGCCCCGAGCATCTCGACACGGTACGCCGCCTACTCTAACACCGTCACTGGGCGTGCCAGGCCCACGCTGTCTTGGAGCTCATCGGCATGATAGATGAGTCCAGCATGAAAAAGAACAGGCAGCATACCAAGAAGATGAGGCATTCCAATATGACTTGCGACACCTACTTCATCCGCCCGACCAACGGGCACAGCAGCCCTGGTATCGGGCGCCCTGAATCCTTATATGAGGATCGCTGACCTATCAGCACCCGAGGCACCTCGGTACTGCATTCATGGAATTCAGTGGGAGAATATACCACGTATTCCCAGCATTGGTTTATCTTGACGTGCCGACGACACTTGTAAGAAGAGGGGCAGACAGTTCGTAAATGGATGAGCTACAGAGCTGTTTGGCACAACAATCAGAGGGATATAATCAGGCACGCTAGTTTAAAGTATCCAGACGCCTGAACTCGGTCTGCTATCAGCGCTGGGGCCGAGCATCTTTTCGTACTTTGATTTTTTTTGAGATGGTGATGGTTTTATTAACGCTGTTCGGCGCAGCAATCGGAAGGAAATCAGCAGGCGCGCGAGCTCAAAGTGTCCAGACGTCTAAACTTGGTCTGGTATGTCTATTATTTTTTCCTGAGATGCTTTTTGCTCGCTCCTTCTTCTCCTCATGTCCTCCTCCATGAGACCGCGCCCTCGCGCGCGCAATGCGAGATTGCCGCGCCTGCATTGCACGGGGGAGCTCTACGAGTTCCCGGCGGTGACCAAGGTTGACGGCTTACCGCCGGCTCCCAGTTGGTCGACCCGACCAGAAAGGACAATGTGGTGATTTTGGGTCGGTGTTGCTAAGATTTGAAAGATGTTTGACATTTCATTTTGAGAAGCCAGATTCTTCGCACCTGTGAAAGACTATGAGGGCTTCTGTGTCTTAGTATGAGCTCCGTAGGCGCACTTTTATTATCAAAACACTTGGATGAACCAACTTCATGTCGACATGAAAAATGCAACATTGAAGATTTTACGAAAATCTTCTGCGAAGTTCTCTGCTTCGATTCTGAGTACTCTTACGCGCGCAAGGAGCTCGAAGTCTTGTGCATATCTGTACATCTTCTGGCAGTCTTGTGCATATCTGTACAGCTTCGCTGTTTGATGCACCTCTGCTTTGATATTTGCAGCTTCGCTGTCTTCCTGTACAGCTTCGCTGTTTAGGTTCTTTGTGTTTAGGCCTGCTCCCATGGGAGCTCGAACCGGCCTTCGCAAAAGACGCAACATACCAGGTTGCTGCTGTCCCTCCTCGGGCTCTCAGCGGCGACCTGGCCCGTCGGGGGCCTCCTCGAGCGGCATTGTGCCGTGCCTGGTGTTTGGTTCTCTTTACCGTGCACGGTGCTTCAGTGTCTGTTGTGCCTGAGCACCGTGCACTCTCATTGATTGTTGGAGTACGCGTCGTCGGAGTACGATACACTTTTATTGATTGTCGAAGGCCTGTGCACATCCATTGTTGTCGGAGTGCACAGTATTGTTGAGATTGTCGGAGTATCGTTGGAACAGCATTTTCCTTTGTTATCTGCCCTTCCTGCGTGCAGAGCCTCGTGCCGAAAGTCCGGGACGAAACACATTGACTGTCGGGGCACGCATTCATTGCCTCGGGCCGAAAGTCCGGGATGAAACACATTGACTGTCGGAGCATACATTCATTGATTGTCGGAGTACACACTATTGCCTGTGATTTGCCTTCTTCTTGTTGAGCGAATCCACGTTTCATATATGGAGTTTGTTTCATCTGAATTGTCAGGCACGGATTTTGTAGCTTCAGATTGGACAGATACGGCGTTGTTTATTTCCGAATTTCTCGCTGCTCGTTTGTCTACGCTCGAAGTGTGTGTTAGTGGTCTATATTGCCGTGTTCGCCCTTCGTACGGAGGTGAGTCTCGCCTGCATGAGCGAGACCAGCTGCATGGGCATGGTGTCAAAGTTTCTCAATCGAAGTTGCGCCGCCTGCGGGCGAAACGTATCAGGTATCGTTTGTGGTCCACGGCTCGGGGGCCAGATTCGTCGTGCCTTGTTCGCCCAGGTATTTGCGCGCCCAGATATTATCGGAATTTCTGCTCGGACGATCCTGAGGAAGAGGAATGGGTTGAGGACACTTGTGGAACACAGACTGATATGGGTGCTGTTGAATTGGCTGGCAACTCTTTGTGTTCGCAGTGTTCCGATTGTGGGGCTCAGACAGATCCCTGTGTTCACATTGCGTGCGGGACTCGGACTGATCTTTGTGTTCTCTTTGTTGGTAAGGAGGAGAAGGAGGAGCGTCATCGAGTGCACGTTGATCGGGGTGGTGCTTCTCTCAGAATGAAGAGATATTGTTTCAAACGAGCGGAGGCGATCGAGAGTTCAAAGTTGCGCGCTTCAGAATTGCATGCGGCCAACGGGAGTGCGGTGGAGAGTACCGCAATTTGGAGTTCAGTTGATGCAGTCGGGAGTTCCAGTGCAGTCGGGAGTTCAACAGTTCGGAGTGCAGTAGGAAGTTCCACAGTTCGGAGTTCTGCTGATGCAGTTGCTGATGCAGTTGGGAGTTCAACAGCTGGGAGTTCTGCAGTTGGGAGTACCGCGGTTTGGAGTTCAGCTGATGCAGTAGGGAGTTCCATGAATGGGAGTTCTGCAGATCGACCGAGTGAGACACGCTCTGAGTGTCAAGCTGCCAGGGACTGGGCCCTTGCCGGTGTCGATGTAAGTGCTCTTTGGCGCGAGCTACACCAGCTTCCGAGACAGGAGCTTCAGCGTAGGATTGAGGCTCTTAGTGCATACAAGCTTCAAATGGGAATTGAAAGTTCCGAGGGGGATGATTCGCAACAGGGGGGTCCTCGGAGTTCTATTTCCAGGAGTGCATTGACGCGGAGCGGCAAGAAGCATCGGAAACGGCACAGATGATGCACATGTGATTGATCATGCACGCTTGTGTTGGTCTGCCCCCCCTTTCTCTCCCCCGCTGTTTCTGCCCCTGGGCTCGCTTTGGATCTTTGGGCTTCTCCCGCTCTCCCGCTGGCTTTCCTTCCGCTCTCCGCTGGCTGGTCTCGTAAGTGGATTGGCACGTTTCTTCTCTTCTGCCTACAATTACTCGAAGGATTTGTGTATCACCATTTCTCAGTGGTGTTGAGACGGTAATCGCTGTATAAGCCAGTGGTTACTGTATGGTCTCTCACTGCTTCTAGCTTTGCTTCCATATCTATGGTCTGTATTGCTTCCTCACTATATTGTTGGTTGTTTTCTCGTGTGCTGGCAGTCTTGCGCATCTCTGTACAGCTTCGCTGTTTGATGCACCTCTGCTTTAATCTTTGCAGCTTCGCTGTTTTCCTGTACAGCTTCGCTGTTGAGGTTCTCTGTGTCCTGGCCTGCTTTCCAGGGAGCTCGAATCGGCCAACGCAGACTACGCAGACCAGGTTGACGGTTCACCGCCGGCGCCAGTACCTCGTAGAGCTCTTCGGCATCGATGAGCTAGAGGAATTCTGGCGCGGGGCGGAGGTAGTACCTCGTAGAGCTTTTCGACATCGATGAGCTAGAGGAATTCCGGCGCGGGGTGCAGCTAGTTCGCCAACCTGGCCCTGACGGACAATGTGGCAATTTTAGGTCGGTTGGGCGAAAATTGTGCTACAATTTGAAAATTTGTTTTGAGAGCTTGTATTTTTCGCACCTGTAGTAGGTTATGCCGCGTCCGCCTGTTCACCTCTCAGGTCCGTAGCTGCAGTATTACTATCGAAATACTTGAAGCAACCGACTTTGGATGAAAACCGAAAAACGTGATTTTCGAGTTCTTCAGCTCGCGCTTGAGAAAGCTTCCTCCGTGTGCCCGGAGCAGCGCCGCGCGAGAAACGAGCTCTACGAGGCTCCCGGCGGTAACCTGGTTGACGGTTTACCGCCGGCTCCCAGTTGGCCGACCCGGCCCGGGCGGACAATGTGGCAACTCGGGGTCGGTTTTTTGAAGACTGTGAGACATTTGAAAATTCGTTTTGGGAACCATTATTTTTGTAACGTAGAGTGGGTTGTGCCGCGTTCGCCTGTCAAATCCTCGGGCCCGTAGCTGCAATAGTACTTTCAAAAAACGTGGAGGAACCGTCGGCCGTGAAAGTGCATTTCCGAAAATGATAATGATCTCGTGCATTTGACGATCTTCGATTTTATTCCCGCTCGCCGTCTTAATCTCAGGTCGATCGGGTACATCCTACTGCCAAAAAGCACTGGGGCGGGATTGGCTCTTTCGAGTCATCTCGACAGGTGCTGTCGGTTTTCTGTGCTTAACTCGAGATGTAGGATAGCTACAGAGCTGGTAGGCACACCTAATCGATCTAGAATCGTCAGGCGCGTTCGTCTGAAGTACTCAGGCAGGCTAGGTCTGCGAAACTATTCAGGCAGGCTGATGCTGTGGCTGAGGCAGCCTGAGGCTGAGGCAGGCTGAGGCTGAAACCGAGGCTGAGGCAGACTGAGGCTGAGGCTGAAGCAGGCTGAGGCTGAGGCTGAGGCAGGCTGAGGCTGAGGCTGAGGCAGGCTGATGCTGAGGCAGGCTGAGGCTGAGGCTGAGGCTGATGCAGGCTGAGGCTGAGGCAGGCTGAGGCTGAGGCTGAGGCTGAAGGCAGACTGAAGATGAGGCTGAAGCAGGCTGAGGCCGAGGTTGAAGGCATATTGAGGCTGAGGCTGAGGCTGAGGCAGGCTGATGCTGAGGCAGGCTGAGGCTGAGGCTGAGGTTGATACAGGCTGAGGCTGAGGCAGGCTGAGGCTGAGGCCGAGGCTGAAGGCAGACTGAGGCTGAGACTGAAGCAGGCTGAGGCTGAGGCCGAGGCTGAGGCTGAGGCCGAGGCTGAGGCTGAGGCTGAGGCAGGCTGAGGCTGAGGCTGAGGCAGGCTGATGCGGAGGCTGAGGCAGGCTGAGGCTGAGGCTGATGCAGACTGAGGCTGAGGCAGGCAGAGGCTGAGGCCGAGGCTGAAGGCATATTGTGGCTGAGGTTGAAGCAGGCTGAAGCTGAGGCAGAGGCAGGCTGAGGCTGAGGCAGCCTGAGGCTGAGGCCGAGGCTGAAGGCAGACTGAGGTTGAGGCTGAAGCAGGCTGAGGCTGAGGCTGAGGCAGGCTGAGGCTGAGGCTGAGGCAGGCTGATGCTGAGGGAGGTTGAGGCTGAGGCTGAGGCTCATGCAGGCTGAGGCTGAGGCAGGCTGAGGCCGAGGCCGAGGCTGAAGGCAGACTGAGGCTGAGGCTGAAGCAGGCTGAGGCTGAGGCTGAGGCAGGCTTGAGGCTGTGGCTGAGGCTGACTGATGCTGAGGCAGGCTGAGGCTGAGGCTGAGGCTGATGCAGGCTGAGGCTGAAGGCAGGCAGAGGCTGAGGCCGAGGCTGAAGGCAGAGTGATGCTGAGGCTGAAGCAGGCTGAGGCTGAGGCTGAGGCAGGCTTGAGGCTGTGGCTGAGGCTGACTGATGCTGAGGCAGGCTGAGGCTGAGGCTGAGGGTGAAGCAGGCTGAGGCTGAGGCAGGCAGAGGCTGAGGCCGAGGCTGACGGCAGACTGAGGCTGAGGCTGAAGCAGGCTGAGGCTGAGGCTGAGGCAGGCTGAGGCTGAGGCTGAGACAGAGGCTGAGGTTGAGGCAGGCTGAGGCTGAGGCTGAGGCTGATGCAGGCTGAGGCTGAGGCAGGCTGAGGCTAAGGCCGAGGCTGCAGGCAGACTGAGGCTGAGGCTGAAGCAGGCTGAGGCTGAGGCTCAAGCAGGCTGAGGCTGAGGCTGAGGCTGCGGCAGGCTGATGCTCAGGCAGGCTGAGGCTGAGGCTGAGGCTGAGGCTGAGGCAGGCAGAGGCAGGCTGAGGCTGAGGCCGAGGCCGACGGCAGACTGAGGCTGAAGGCTGAAGCAGGCTGAGGCTGAGGCTGAGGCAGGCTTGAGGCTGAGGCTGAGGCAGGCTGATGCTGAGGCAGGCTGAGGCTGAGGCTGAGGCTGATGCAGGGTGAGGCTGAGGCAGGCTGAGGCTGAGGCTGAGGCTGAAGGCAGACTGATGCTGAGGCTGAGCAGGCTGAGGCTGAGGCTGAGGCAGGCTGAGGCTGAGGCTGAGGCAGGCTGAGGCTGAGGCTGTGATTGCGACTGCCGTTGCCACTGCGACTGTCATCGCGAATGCGACTACGACTGCGAGAACAGCAGAATTCTACAACTGGATTCTCATTTGAATCTTAAGGGGAATGCTTCCACATATGCTCCTACACATCGCTGTTGGGTTGCTTTGCCGGGATAATTTTTGTTGGTTCCTGCTCTGGTAGCAGACCGAGTTCAAGCATCGAGATATTGGCCATTCCTGGGCATGAATTTGAATGCCCGGAGCCAACTGTAGGCCACTTCGTGTTCTTCGAGTTCCCAGAACTCCATTCCTGGGCACGATTTTGAATGCCCGGAGCCAACTGTAGGCCACTTCGTGTTCTTCGAGTTCCCAGAACTCCAATCCTGGGCATGATTTTGAATGCCCGGAGCCAGCTGTAGGCCACTTCGTGGTCTTCGAGTTCCCAGAACTCCATTCCTGGGCATGATTTTGAATGCCCGGAGCCTACTGTAGGCCACTTCGTGTTCTTCGAGTTCCCAGAACTCCATTCCTGGGGCACATTTTGAATGCTGGGGCAGGCTGATGCTCAGGCTGAGGCAGGCTGAGGCTGAGGCAGGCTGAGGCTGAGGCCGAGGCTGAAGGCAGACTGAAGCTGAGGCTGAAGCAGGCTGAGGCCGAGGCTGAAGGCAGATTGAGGCTGAGGCTGAAGCAGGCTGAGGCTGAGGCAGATGCAGGCTGATGCTGAGGCTGAAGCAGGCTGAGGCTGAGGCAGGCGGCTGAGGCAGATGCAGGCTGAGGCTGAGGCAGCCTGAGGCTGAGGCCGAGGCTGAAGGCTGAGGCAGGCTGAGGGTGAAGCAGGCTGAGGCTGAGGCTGAGGCAGGCTGAGGCTGAGGCTGAGGCAGGCTGATGCGGAGGCAGGCTGAGGCTGAGGCTGAGGCTGATGCAGACTGAGGCTGAGGCAGGCTGAGGCTGAGGCCGAGGCTGAAGGCAGATTGTGGCTGAGGCTGAAGCAGGCTGAGGCTGAGGCAGAGGCAGGCTGAGGTTGAGGCTGAGGCAGGCTGATGCTGAGGCAGGCTGAGCCTGAGGCTGAGGCTGATGCAGGCTGAGGCTGAGGCAGGCTGAGGCTGAGGCCGAGGCTGAAGGCAGACTGAGGCTGAGGGTGAAGCAGGCTGAGGCTGAGGCTGAGGCAGGCTGAGGCTGAGGCTGAGGCTGAGGCAGGCTGAAGGCTGAGGCTGAGGCTGAGGCTGAGGCCGAGGCTGCAGGCAGACTGAAGCTGAGGCTGAATCAGGCTGAGGCTGAGGCTGAGGCTGAGGCAGGCTGAGGCTGAGGCAGGCTGAGGCTGAGGCTGAGGCTGAGGCAGGCTGAGGCTGAGGCTGAGGCTGATGCAGGCTGAGGCTGAGGCAGGTGGAGGCTAAGGCCGAGGCCGACGGCAGACTGAGGCTGAGGCTGAAGCAGGCTGAGGCTGAGGCTGAGGCTGAGGCAGGCAGAGGCTGAGGCTGAGGCAGGCTGATGCTGAGGCAGGCTGATGCTGAGGCTGAGGCTGAAGGCAGACGGAGGCTGAGGCCGAGGCTGAAGGCAGAGTGATGCTGAGGCTGAAGCAGGCTGAGGCTGAGGCTGAGGCAGGCTGAGGCTGAGGCTGGCTGAGGCTGAGGCTGAGACAGGCTGAGGCTGAGGCTGTGACTGCGACTGCCGTTGCCACTGCGATTGTCATCGCGAATGCGACTACGACTGCGAGAACAGCAGAATTCTACAAGTGGATTCTCATCTGAATCTTAAGGGGAATGCTTCCATATATGCTCCTACGTATCGCTGTTCGCTTGCTTTGTCGGGATATTTTTTACCCAAATTCGATCGCATTCCCGCTCGCCGCCTTCATCTCAGGTCGATCGGGTAGATATTACTATCAAGAAGCATGTGGCCAGGATCGGCTGTTGAGTGTAATCTTGACATATGCTGTTGTTTTCTTAACTTAGTTCGAGCTGCAGATGAGCTACAGAGCTGTTCGAAACAACAATCGAAACATAATCATCAGAAACACTAGTTTGCAGTATCTAGATTGCGGACCTCGGTCGGCTACTAGAGCTGGAACTTGAAACATGTATATGTAACCTGTTATGTGTTTGAGATGATGATGATTTTTCCTAACATAACTCGAGCTGCATATGAACTACACATCTGTTCGGCACAGCGGTCGAAAGTCTCTCATCAGAAGCGCTAGATTCAAGCATCTAGATGCCCGGAATCGGTCTGCTACCAGAGCTGGAACCAACAAATTATTCGTGTTCTGATTTTTTGGGGAGATGCTGATGCTTTTCGTAACTTAACTAGAGCTGCAGGTGGACTGCAGGGCTGTTCGGCACAACAACTGGAAGGGATGGATCAGGGGCGCTAGTCTCAAGTATCTAGATGCCCGAAATCGGTCTGCTACCAGAGCTGAAACCAAACAACTGTTCGTACTCTTCATTTTTTGGGGAACCATGCTGGTTGTCTAACTTAGCTCGAACTGCAGATGAGCTAGAGCTGTTCGGCAGAACAATCGAAAGGAATTCATCAGGAACGCTAGTCCGAAGTATCTAGAAGCCCGAACTTGGTCTGTCACCAGAACTGGAACCAAATAACGTTTTTTCTTATTATATATATATATATATGTTTCGACATTTTTCGAAGCAGAAGGTCGCCATATACATTTGGCTACGGCATGGAGACGTCTCCTGGTTTTCTCCTCCCCTTCTTCCTCCTCCTCCTTGCCCTTTCCTTTTCCTTCTCCTCCTCCTCCTTGCCCTTCTTCCTTTCTCCCTTCTCCTTCTCCTTTTCTGTCTCCTCTCCCCTCCTCCTCCTCCTCCTCCTCCTCCTCCTTCTCTTTCTCTTTCTTCTCCTCCTCCTGTTCCTCTTTTTGCTCATTTTCCTCTTCCTCTTCCGCCTTCATCTGCCCCCTCTGCTCTTCTCCTCCTCCCCCTTCCCTTTCTCCTCCTCCTCCTTCTCCTACTCCTTTTCCTCGTCATCATCGCCCCCCCCTTCTCCCCCTTCCACTTCCCTTGCCTTCTGCTCGTCATCCTCGCTTTCTCCTTCTCCCGCTCCTTTTCCTTCTCCTGTTCCTTCTTCTCCCTCTCAGTCTCCTCCACCTCCTTCTTCTCCTCGCTCTTTCTTCTCCTCCACTTCCTCCTCGTGAAACCGCGTCCGGAGATTGCAGCGCCGGCGTGCCAAGGAAGCCCTGCGAGTTCCCGGCGGTAGCCGAGCAACGTCGGCTCAAGAGCAACGTCGCTCCAGACGAGGAGGGCGCGATGCGCCGCCTTCCCTTTTGCAGTCACTTCCACCTCCCCTCCTTCACTTCTTATATCACAGTCTCATTTTCTCTATTGTGCGTCCTACTCCAGCTCTCGTGTGATTGCGATTGGTCGAGGGAGGCGCGACGTCGTATCCTTTTTTCATCAGGTTTTGACAAGCCGCTGTACCAGACAGAAGCCAGACGAGGAGACTGGAGCCATCGACTCACCCATTGATCCGACAGAATCGATTGATTTGGACAATTATCTCAGAGGTCGGGGGACAGAGGGCCCAGCGGTCCACGCTGCATCCCGCAAGCGTACCATCCAGGACGACCAGGACTGGCGTCGACGCTGGGGGGCGCATCTGAGTCAACTCCACAGGGTAGCCACAGATATGACGGCAGTGCCTGATGTGACGATGGGCGATGACCGTGGGGTCGAGAGATGGGCGCAGGCGACGGCGCTGGAGGCGAAACGGGAGGCTTGCGAGAAGTCCATGGCCTCCTTCAGTGACGCTTGCAAGGCGGATGATGTCCCACGCTATTTCGGCAAGCTCGGAGATGCCCCGAGCGCCCTCGCCGCCCACCAGTCCAAGAATATGATTGAGTTGAAGCAGGAGATCACAGAGGTCAAGGATGATTCCGGTTCGCTCAGGGCTCGCAATAACAAGCAAGACACCAAGCTCGATCGCTTGGAGAAGGAGATCGCCTCCATCAAAGCAGGTGCGGCGGCGTCCACGGCGGCCCCGAGTGCAGGGGGTGCCGTGTCAGTCGGAGGTGCGGGGTCCCAGCGCCAATGGGATCCAGCATGCATTAAGCTCCGCGGCTGGGTCACGGGCGCCTCCGGTGCGATGTCGCGCTCAGAGACGCAGATCACGGACCTCGACTGCCAGCATCTTATTCGTAACTTACTCGACCTCCTTGGGGAGGAAGATAGAGCCAAAGTGGACGATGTCGGAACTCTTCGTATCAACGGCAACCAGCCCATGTTCTCCTTTTGCCGTATCAAGTTTTGCGCTGGCACAGATGGGGATGCACTATGGAACTGTAAACACCTGCGGGGCGCGGTTGTCCTGGATCCCAGCCAACGCACAAAGGCCCAGAAGCAGCTAGCAGGAGACCGCACCAAGCAGCACATGGAACGACATTCCCAGCAAACCATTATCAAGATCGAGGCTCCGGAGTGGAAGAAGGGCCTCATCGCCGCCGCGGGGCGTTTCCACGGCATCTGGAGGCAGAAGATTCTCAAATAATACCCGAGCACGAGCTTCGGGATCACAAGCCAGACAGGATCGGGCCAGGGCATCGGCACCATCTTGACGAGGCCGCCTGCTCGTCAAGCCCATCGTCCAATCGAACTTGCAGTCTGGAAGGCAGCAGAGGCGACCTTGACTATCCACAAGGATGTCTGGGACACGGTCTTGCCCCGCCGTGGCATCCAGACCACAGTGGCCTCTTCCCAATCCAGCTTGGAGTGGGGGTTCCGCGAGAGCGCGGACGGAGGCAGCGAGCCTTTCGCGGCAGGTTCTTTGAACGTTGCCAGAATTGATCGCCGCGATGCTAGAGGGTTTGCCCTATGCAGACAGCTCCTCCACGAGGGGGTTGCGGTGATCGGCCTCCAGGAGTGCCAGCATGCGCCTTTTCCGATGGGTTCAGACGGCTCGGATGGCTGGGTTGCCAATCCAGCTGCCTCCGAGCGGGGGTTCTGGTACGGGCACTGTACCGATGCAATATAATTCACACGTGGGTTAACCTAGATAGGATCGCAGGTGTGCTTTTCGGTAACGGTGTTTGTTTCTGCAGTGCTTTCAAAGACAGCTCACATGCTGACCCTCCGACGGATATGGGAACGATTTGCCGACAACTGCGGCAAGTGCGCCGTGGGGCGGTGCGCAGGCTCCCAGGCGCTCGCTTGCTTCTTGTGTGTGACGCCATTGTGGAGCTTGCGCCAGATCTTGTGTCGACACGGGGGGGGGCAGATCACGGGGGAGGGACTTATGATGGCGCGACAGAGGGGATGTGGGAACGATTCGGAGAGCAGACGGTGAAGGGGGAGATGAGCGGGCAGTTTGAAAATTTCAAGGGGGAGGAGAGGCTTGCTGCTATCACTACTTCTGTAGCACGGACTCCGACCTACTGGAAGTTGGGAGCCGCCATCCCTAGCAAAGTGCTAGCTGCTAGACTATGTTCGCATTCCGACGGCCCGGGGGAGAGGAGAGACCATAGTGAAGTGGCTCCGTGATGGAGCCCAGAGCTACCGCCGTTTGCGAAATAAACGCCCACGCGTGGAAGTACCGAGATCCCCGCCCCGCGCCCCGCATTTCAATGTTGGCCACCGAACACGCCGAAGGGGAATGCGAAGCGTTGCGAAATAAACGCCCACTTATGTTGGACTGCCCAGCCCTCCCCGTCAACCTTGAAATACGGGGGAAAGGGGGCGTGCTTCGACGTCTTGTTTTCGATCCCTAAGATGGGCGCTTACTTCGCAAACGGCGGTACCCCCCACGAGCGTCTTATAGTGACACAGCGCTGTACATTCACACACACACACATATATATGTATTCCCATATTTATATGTTGTATGTGTATATATGTATGTGTATATATACACGTGTATACATAAGTGTGTATGTACACCCTATTTGCACATCCATATGCCTTTCCCCTATGTGTGCATACACCCATGCGTGCACGTACGTGCATGCATGCATTCACGCCGCCACGCAATCCGAGGCTATTCACGCGACGCTACCCGTGCGGAATCGTCCGGTGGCGACACAACGCTGATGGCCCCCCTTACTCTCCCCTGCAGCTTCCGTCCACTCTGCCCTGTCTACCTCGTCTCGCACTTCTACCCCTTCGAGGCGTCATTTCCGCGCAAAGACGATGGATGCGCTGCCGGGTGCCACGCGCGCGCGCGTAACCCCACTGGGCGGCGCCAGCGGCGCCCGCGCGCGCGTGCTCACGGGGGTGCAAAAGCTGACAGGCGGGCGCTCGCAAACCAAGTGGACTTGGTCAGCGGTGCCCGCACGCGCGTGCTTCCGGAAGCGCAAAAGCTGAGAGTCGGGCGTGCGCAACCCAACTGGACTTCGCCAGCGGTAACCGCACGCGCACCCTCGCGAGCATGCAAAAGACGTGGGGCGGAGCGCTGGGGGGAAGCCCCCGGCGCTGCCCGCGCGCTCCCTCAGGGCGAAGCCGGAGAGCCATTTTGCCCAAGAAGTCTGCGCTTCTGGAGCGGGAGCAGCAAGGCCCACGAATTCAAACGGACCCAGTCCGCGGGGGGCACCTCGTCCACGGCAACCGCACCCATCGCGCGGACATCCGCCAGCAAGGCGTCTGCCTGCGCGCGGGGTATGCGCGCGTCGGACATGAGGTCGTCGAAGCCGCTCGCAGGCGGCACGCCCGCGTCTGCCCCGACCGGCGCAGCGGGCGCCGGGCGGAAAACGCCGACGGCGTCGAACTTTGCCGCCTCCCGGACGATCCGCGCGGTCATGCGCGGAGCACACGAGAGTACGTCCTGCAAAGAGCCGTCCGACAAGACGGAGGTGAATGGGAACTGCCTCACGCGGTTCTGCATGTGCCGGATGTCCTCCGCACCCACCTTATTCGTCGTCTCCCAGAGGCCCTCCAGCTTGCCCGTGAAAACGGCGCCGTGGTTCCAGCTGGCGTCCTTGTTCCCGTCGTTCAAGGACTGGGAAACCTGGATCTCGGTGTGCTGGCCGACGAACAGAGACAGGAACAAAGAGACGGGGACGGTCTTCTCGTGGGCGAACTCAACCGGCCGGAAGTCGCCCCAGAAGATGAACCGCTTCGTGCCGCTGGCCAGGTTCCGGAGTCCAAAGGAGGAGCCCAAGGCAGTCGTTTCGGAATGAACAAGTCGTCGAAAGGGTAAACTACCGTGCTCTTCCCGGAAACGGCCCCACCAGGAAGGGCACCCTCGTCGTCTTCTTCGGGCCGACCATCAGAATGTCCCGCAGAGACGCCGCGAGCTCCCGAACGTCGAAAGAAGCGGCGCTGCGGGAGAAGATGGTCTCCACGGCTGACCTGTACGAGCACGCCGGGCCATGGGGACATGTCTCCTCAGCGCAGCGGCACACGAGCGTCCAATCGTCCACCGCCTCGAAGGCCGCGTTCTCGCGGGCAGACGCCCACTCCTTCGTCTCCTCAAGGTCCGCCGTCAGCTTGCGCACTCGGCTGCGGACGAACCGCTGCATGGCCTTCGTCCCGCGGTCCTGGACGTACGCCATCAGGCTGCCCTTCGTCCACAAGTGCTTGGCGATGATGGTCGAGGTCAAGTCTACGAGGTCGAACGTCGTCTTCGTGCCCATCGCCCCGGCCGCCTTGTCCGTGGCCTCCCGGCGCTTCACCCGCACGCCTGCCATGTATGGCTCCTGCGACATCTCGAAGAGGTCGATGGCGTCGTTCTCGCGCGCGAACCCGGCCCAGTCTGGCTGCCACACCCACGGGGCGTCGTCGACATCTGGTTTGGCTGGGGTCTCCATATACCCGTACCTCACGGCGCTCCACATTCGCCGGTGGGAACCACAGAAATGGCTCGGCAACGAATGGCGCTCACGCAGAGTGCGCTTGGCCTGCTGGAAACGGCCCGACCTAGTCAGCTTCACAGCAACGTGGAAATGGATCGCGCCGTCTTTGTGCCTCTCCTGGAACACCACCGCCATGGACACGAGCGCTTGGCCGTCCGGTTCCTTCCTAGGGCGGCCGCCCGCGGACCCAGTCGGATTCGGATTGTTGAATGCGTCGGCCACTGTTTTTCCGATGTCCTCCCGGCTCATCGCGCCAAGATCGCGGTACTGGCGGCCGTCGGGAAGGGTCGCGTCCAGGACGCGCGATATGGTCACCAAGTAGACCCACTGCAACGAGTCCAGCTTCTCGGCCTCAGCCAACACGGTCTCCAGAGGCGACGCGGCGTCCTGGTCGGGCTGCGTTTCCGAAACGACCTCGGTTGTCAGGCTCTTGAACTCGTGCTTGCGTTGGTCCAAAGCAAGCTCTTGCAAACCGAGTTTCAAAGCGACCTGGCGGCGACACTCACGCAACGAAATGCGTTTCAAGTCCTTGCCTACTAAGACGGCCTTCAAGGCGTCCCGGATGGCTTTGGTTTCGACGGCCTCGGCGTCCACGCCTGCGGACGGGACTGGGGGAGACGGCACCACGTACCCCGTGTCCGTCTTCTGCCGCAAGCGGCGCCTCGGCATAGAGGGGTCTGTGAGCATTGCAGTGCGCGGTACTCCCAGTGACAGGTGCCAAGGTCCGTACGGTTCTCCCTATAAGACTTGAGACACAAGGCAGCTGCAGTGGTTTTAAGCACCAATGGCCATGAGCACCAGGACGGCTGCGAGCACCACTTCAAAGCCTGAGAGCACCTCAGAGCCCATTAAGTAAGAACGGCTTGAGCCGAAGCGCCTGTGGGCGCTACAAGGCTGGTGATCACCGCAACAGCCTCAGAGCACCACAGAACTCGAAAGGACCTCAGAGCACCGCAACAGCTACAGAGCACCACAGGACGTGGGTCTCAACGTGCCTGCGAGCACCGACTGGTCAGAGGAAGGGGGAGAGAGGGGGAGGGAAAGGAATGCCCACCAACTGGACATCGACGACATTCCCAAGACAACCCAAACAGGCGCTGGAACTGCCAAATGGCCCAAAATTGCCCCAAAACCTGTCTGGGTCGGAGCGGGAAAACCGATGCAACTTGTCCCAAGAGTGCAAGCGAGGCCGATTCCCTCTCCCTGAATCCACCGCACTCCGAGGGCTCTGGAAGCGGGGGGCGGAGGGGTGGAGAGGACTTGGAGGTTCTGGAGGGTTCTGGAGGTTTTGGGAAGTCCTCCGAAAGTAGAAAGAGTTTGGGAGGGTTCCGGAGGATTTGGGAGCAGTGCGAGGGTTTCGGATGTATGGGGAGTTGTGGAGGTTTTGGGGGGAGCGCGGAGGGGTTAGGAGGTATGGGAGGGTTCTGGAGGGTTCTGGAGGTTTTGGGAGGTCTCCAATAGCTTCGCTGTCGATTTCAAGATCGATCTCACGATCAATATCACTATCGATCTCACTGTCGATTCCACGGTCGACCTTAAGATATATCTCAAAATCCACGATCGATCTCAGAATCGAGCTCACGAAATCCGCAGCAAATTCAGTGGGGCGCCAGAACGTACGAAGATTGTATAATCGTAGAAAACCAATAACATTGCACAGAATCGGACTCTCCAGGTGCTCTCCAGGTGCACTCCCGGTCAAGCGGCCGCCTCGCGACAGGGCGACGCGACCCTGCGGGCGTCTGAAGGACGATGATAATGGCAATGCCAATGGAGGGAGAGCGGGAGGCAGGGAGGGAGCGCAAGCGGCGGCCCACATTGCCAGGAATCGGTGCTCTCGCCTCCGCGCCGGGCAATCCTTACAAGGGGGCGCGCAGAGTCCTGAGAAGAAAAATCGAAAAAAGTCCCCTTTTTAGGACGCCGAATTTTCCACCCGGCTGCCCTGGCCCCTGGGGGTCCCCCGTTGCAATCTACCCCTGTTGTCCGAAAGCAACAAAAAACAAAAAAAGTTTCGTTTACGTGTCCTTCCCTGCTCCAATTCAATACCCCTCACAGACTCCGAACCCTCCCTCGGGCAGCAGGGACTACTCCGTCAATCCACAAGAACAATTAAATCTCTGCGGGAAATCTCGGGAGTGTGTGCTTACCAAGCTTGGGAAGGTAGCGCGCCGTGAATGGGGCTGGGGAAGGTCAGTGCCTGGCCGTAGGCCTTCCGGTCCGGACACGTAATCAAAAAAACGACGGGGGGGGGGGAAGCGTGGCCAGCGCGACGGCGAGAGCACCATTCCGACGTCCACGTGCAACCCTGTGGTACGTAACGGGCCCACAAAGAAAACGGCTCCGACACGAGCGAGGGATCCATGTTCAAACATATTTTCTCGGAGTGTACGCCTGGGGCGTCCGCCGTCGACATGGGCGCGGGTCCTGGCGCGGTTCGGTCTGGCCCGGCAAAAGCCTCGGCGCCTGGGCGGGCGTGCGCAAGCCTCCCCGATAGGGAGGAGAGAGGAACACGCTGTGACCAGCGCGACGGCGAGGGTGCCATTCCGACCAGCGACCCGAACACGGCGAACTTCGCCCACGACCCGCGCTCGCGACCTGCGACACGACGCGCGCCCCGCGCCCGCCACCCGTCTACGATCCGTCTGGCCTGGCGGCCCCAACTAGAGCACAACCTAGAGCACAACCTAGAGCACAACCTAGAGCACAACCTAGAGCACAACTCATGAAGGTATATATTTTCATAGAAAAAATGGCACTCAACCTTCCCAAATCAAAAAAGAATCAATACTTTCTTTATTTTCGAACGCGAATGCGTGCCAGACTACCATGAAATGAGTTGTGCTCTAGGTTGTGCTCTAGGTTGTGCTCTAGGTTGTGCTCTAGTTGTGCTCTAGTTGTGCTCTAAGGCGGCCCCTGGGATAAGCGGTCGCCTGCCCTCCCCGCCCCCGGACCTTCAATCCGACGGAATTGGCTTTCCTCCGTGTTTGGTAGAAATGGCATAACGCACCGCCAACAAGTCACGAAGGCAAGCGCTGTTGGTCGCAGCACCGGCCGCGAGCTCCACGTTGCAAGCGCCGGGCAACGCGCCCTGCCGCCTCCTCCGCCGCGGGCCAGACGCGCGGGCAACGCGTTGCACGATGTTCTGGACACACGTGCAAACGACATGAAGCCGCAATGATACGCAGGCTGTGTCCCGCGCGGGCCTGCAGCAAGGCCCACGAATTCAAACGGACCCAGTCCGCGGGGAGCACCTCGTCCACGGCAACCGCGCCCATCGCGCGGACATCCGCCAGCAAGGCGTCTGCCTGCGCGCGGGGTATGCGCGCGTCGGACATGAGGTCGTCGAAGCCGCTCGCAGGCGGCACGCCCGCGTCTGCCCCGACCGGCGCAGCGGGCGCCGAGCGGAAAACGCCGACGGCGTCGAACTTTGCCGCCTCCCGGACGATCCACGCGGTCATGCACGGGGCACACGAGAGTACGTCTTGCAAAGAGCCGTCCGACAAGACGGAGGTGAATGGGAACTGCCTCGCGCGGTTCTGCATGTGCCGGATGTCCTCCGCACCCACCTTATTCGTCGTCCCCCAGAGGCCCTCCAGCTTGCCCGTGAAAACGGCGCCGTGGTTCCAGCAGACGTCCTTGTTCCCGTCGTTGAAGGACTGGGAAACCTGGATCTCGGTGTGCTGGCCGACGAACAGAGACAGGAACAAAGAGACGGGGGCGGTCTTCTCGTGGGCGAACTCAACCGGCCGGAAGTCGTCCCAGAAGATGAACCGCTTCGTGCCGCTGGCCAGGTTCCGGAGTCCAAAGGAGGAGCCCAAGGCAGGCTTGTGCAGAACCCGTTTCGGAGTGAACAAGTCGTCGAAAGGGTAAACCACCGTGCTCTTCCCGGAATTCGACGGCCCCACCAGGAAGGGCACCCTCGTCGTCTTCTTCGGGCCGACCATCAGAATGTCCCGCAGAGACGCCGCGAGCTCCCGAACGTCGAAAGAAGCGGCGCTGCGGGAGAAGATGGTCTCCACGGCTGACCTGTACGAGCACGCCGGGCCATGGGGACATGTCTCCTCAGCGCAGCGGCACACGAGCGTCCAATCGTCCACCGCCTCGAAGGCCGCGTTCTCGCGGGCAGACGCCCACTCCTTCGTCTCCTCAAGGTCCGCCGTCAGCTTGCGCACTCGGCTGCGGACGAACCGCTGCATGGTCTTCGTCCCGCGGTCCTGGACGTGCGCCATCAGACGCGCGGGCAACGCGTTGCACGATGTTCTGGACACACGTGCAAACGACATGAAGCCGCAATGATACGCAGGCTGTGTCCCGCGCGGGCCTGCACTAAGGCAAACGCGCGTAAAGCGCAGGAGTCGCGAGCACCGCAGGGCCCTCGCCATGGGCAGCCGAGCACCTCCCGAAAGGCAGGGATGGAACAGTAGCAGCACGGCTACGATTTTCAAGTCTACGGATCCACGACACGTTTCTCGGTGCATGCGCTGCGGCAGGAATTCTGAAATCTCTCGGCGGTCACTGAGGAAAAATCCGCTGTGGCAGAGGCCAAGCCGCCGATTCGGCTGGCTCCCCGGCCGCGGCTGGAAAAATTGCGTCGTGGCAAAGACCGTGCCGCCGACTCGGCTGATCAGCGCCAACGCTCCCGGGCCGCAGGCTCAATCGCTCGGGATCCTGCCTCCCTCGGCCACGACGACCTCCGCCGCCTTCGTCTTCATCTTAGCCACGGCTGCCCTGATGACGCTCTTCGGGATGCCCATGGCGACGCGCCTGAGGCGCGCCTTGTAAGCGCTCTGAGACTCGTTGGCCGGCGCGCTCTGCTCTGCCATTCGCCGGTTGACCTCCGCCCAGAGGAAGTAGTCGAGGGGGTTCAAGTCCGGGGAATACTTGGGGAACTTGATGGGGGTGATCTTGAGACCCATCCTGAGAGCGACCGAGCGGGGTCGACCGGGGCGCGAGCGGCGGGCGATCAAGAGCGGGCGCCGACTGGCGGGGCGATCGCCAGACGGGGCCCGACTCGAACTCGCGGCCGCCGCGGTGGCGCGCCAACTAGGGGGGCCGCTTGCAGTCAACGGCCTTCTTGCTCTTGTACCCCGTGGGGTCGTTATCCTCCAGGATGCGGAAGGCGCGGCGCCCCTTCCGGCAACGGCGAAGCGCGGGAGCGAGGACGCCCGCGTAGAAATCGCAGGCTGCGTCGGCGCACCACAGGGTGGGCAGGTAGTGCCAGACGCGGACCTTGTTGTTCACGATGGCTGCGGCCACGTGAACCTTGGCGCCTGGGTTCACCCTGTTCCGGTTCCCCTTCGGCTTCGTGAAAGGCTTGAGGACCTCGGGGGAGGGCCCGGCCAGCCGGCCCCCCGCCCGGCCCCCCCCCCGCCCCTCGCATCCGAAAGAAACTACGCCAATAAGAACCCTCATACCAGAAAGAAACGACGCCAAGAAAAACATGTCCGATCGCCTGGACGGGGCCGATCAGACCCGATCAGACTTGGATCGCAGACATGGATCGGGGCAACGATCGGGGGCGGAATCGGCATCTCGACTTCGGCGGCCCGGCGGCCCCCGCCCCCGGCCCCTGGGATCGCGCTCGGGACCGAGAGTCGCGCCCCCTCTGCCTTGGTGCGAAGGTGGCCGCGAACGCGACTCTTCTTTGCGTGCGTCTTCGCCCGCTTGGTCATGGGGATGGGGGGCACCTTATTGTCGATGATGGCATCGACCTGGTGCGTGAAATAATTGCCCGGGAGCCGCTTCCACCCCGAACGCGCGGCCACGCGCTCCTCCGCCTCCGCGGAGCCGCGGAGCGGCTCCGCGCGGGGAGCGCGCCAGGTGACCCCGAGGCGCTTGAAGTGCCTGGAGGCCGTGCCCTTGTGGACGTCGGAGACCCGCGCGGCCTTCATCACGTCCACTCTTCTTGAACGCCGCTATTCGTCTGGTGATGGGGACGGGGGTGCGTGAAATTGTCGATGATGGCATCGACCTGGTGCGTGAAATAATTGCCCGGGAGCCGCTTCCACCCCGAACGCGCGGCCACGCGCTCCTCCGCCTCCGCGGAGCCGCGGAGCGGCTCCGCGCGGGGAGCGCGCCAGGTGACCCCGAGGCGCTTGAAGTGCCTGGAGGCCGTGCCCTTGTGGACGTCGGAGACCCGCGCGGCCTTCATCACGTCCTTGAGGTGAATCTCGGCCTCGCCCTTGGCCGCCCGAATCAAACGAACCCGCGCGTTGTTCAAGGCGCGGAGCTTGACGGCCGTGAGCTCGGGCTTGCGGCCGCGAGTCTCCGCTGGGCCACGCCTGTGCGTGGCGCCCCGGAGGGCCCGGCGGACGGTCGTCAAATCTGGCCCAGTCTCGTCGAGGGACTCACGGGTCCGACTAACGAGGTCGCGTATCTCCACCGGGGTCTTCCCAGCGGCGTAGAGCGAGAAGCAGAGGTCGAGCTCCCTCTTGCTGAGGTGGGGCGCCATCTGGGCCCGCGACCGAAAAAGGGGTCAGATGGCCTCGGGGCGGGGCGAGGCCGTTGCTGCGGTGGCGACTGAGCCGAAACAGCTGCGCCAGGTGAACGGAAGGCTTGTCAATGTGACCGGAGCACGCGGCGGCGTTCATAGTCTGGCGTCGCTCCTGACGCCGCCCTCAAGACGGGGGGCTTCGGGCAGCCTCAAAGTCCTTGCAGGGCGCCAACAGGAGAGCGCAACCCGTTGGGCAGCGGGGAGGGGCCAGTCTTGCAACGCAACCCATGCAGATGCCCGTAGCCGAAGATGCCATGGCAAATGAGTCCGCCGTTTGCGAAATAAACGCCCACGTGTGGAAGTACCGAGATCCCCGCCCCGCGCCCCGCATTTCAATGTTGGCCACCGAACACGCCGAAGGGGAGTGCGAAGCGTTGCGAAATAAACGCCCACTTATGTTGGACTGCCCAGCCCTCCCCGTCAACCTTGAAATACGGGGGAAAGGGGGCGTGCTTCGTCGTCTTGTTTTCGATCCCTAAGATGGGCGTTTATTTCGCAAACGGCGGTGCCCCCACGAGCGTCTTATAATGGCCACCAGAGCTGTAACATTTCACACACACACAACAATTTATATATTATGTATTTCCCATTATGATATGTTGTATGTGTAATTATTTATGGGATTTATACACGTGTATACATAAGTGTGTATGTACACCCTATTTGCACATCCATATGCCTTTCCCCTACGTGTGCATACACCCATGCATGCACGTACGTGCATGCATGCATTCACGCCGCCACGCAATCCGAGGCTATTCACGCGACGCTACCCGTGCTGAATCGTCCGGTGGCGACACAACGCTGATGGCCCCCCTTACTCTCCCCTGCAGCTTCCGTCCACTCTGCCCTGTCTACCTCGTCTCGCACTTCTACCCCTTCGAGGCGTCATTTCCGCGCAAAGACGATGGATGCGCTGCCGGGTGCCACGCGCGAGCACGCGTAACCCCGCTGGGCGGCGCCAGCGGCGCCCGCGCGCGCGTGCTCACGGGGGTGCAAAAGCTGACAGGCGGGCGCTCGCAAACCAAGTGGACTTGGTCAGTGGTGCCCGCACGCGCGTGCTTCCGGAAGCGCAAAAGCTGAGAGGCGGGCGAACGCAACCCAACTGGACTTCGCCAGCGGTAACCGCACGCGCACCCTCGCGAGCATGCAAAAGACGCGGGGCGGAGCGCTGGGGGGAA